TATTGCTGCAGTCTTAAATATTGTCACGATCACAATGTAGCACCATGGGTAATGGCCCATTCAAGAAGTGGTCTGCAGCCAGGGTGAAGTGAAGACATAAATGTCTGGAGACTCATTTAATGGATGGCAAATATATATTTGAGAGGGGTGGATGGAAGTTGGAGGTGGATGGATCCCCTCTTGTACAGAAGTGGAATACACTAGACCTACAAAAATATGTCTCATTGGGCTAGAAAAACCTTCCCTGACCATCTTTTTTTTTTTGGAAGGGGGAAGCCAACCATCCTGACACCTTTATAAGCACTGTGATTCTGCATGTGTCATGCTCTTGACAGCATCACACAAACCTCAAATGTCCAGAAGCGTTTTGCTGCCGCCACATGTCCCCAAGCATCATGAAAGCATCACATGTCCGCAAGCATTATGACAATCCTGATACTTCCATGAGCACCACACTGCTTCAAACACTGTGAAAGCATCACACTTCCACAACCATCATCCTGACGTTGGCAGCCATCATGACAATGCTGTTGCTTCCAGAATCATCACATTGGACTGAATGCAGTGTTTCACACATTAATCAAGCAGACGCATAAGATGTATGAACTTAATTGACAATTATCATTCGCTTCAGGAGGGCTCTGCCTTGGAAAGATAGCACATAGTCACTTAAAATGAGGAATAGAAAATCTTCAGGTATTTTTCACTTTACACTCTCAGAAACCTCAGCCCGCAGGACCAGTGATATTGGAAGTATAGGGAAAACAAGCTAGAAAGTTAGAAGCACTTCATAGCAAATTTAAATTTTCATAATGGGCTGCTTTAAAGCTCACCCATTTTGACAGTCCCTGTTTATTAGGGATGCTTGCTGCTTGCTACCCCTTGAAAGGTATTTTTTTTCCTGTTAAATTTCTGTATTTAACAGAAAACGTGGTCTAGAAAGAAGCTTTTCCCAAGTCTTCCATCAACAGCATCATTAAAGCCAGCTTTTCCCTTCACAAGCGATTCAGCTAAATCAGGCAGTCACATCTTTCGATTTTTGTCATACATTTGAAGACTCTGTTGGCAGGAGTGTGGAGAACATGGAAAGACTCAGGCTGAAAGGAGATGAGATGGATAGACTACTTAACCACCAAATGCCCTGAGAAGGCAGGCTATTTTATAGCAGAAACACATAATGTGTGTGTGTGTGTGAGGAAACACAACACTCTGAACTGTGACAAAGTTTGAACAGCAGCGTGGGGACAGAACAATTCAAGCATTGGTGGTGCAGGCAGCAAATCAATCCAAGACATGAGAAGGAAGGACACCTTATTTATGAGATCTTCTGCATTGTGGCTGGCACTGACAATAAGAGGAATGGTCTGATAATTCATATCTTCACTCACATATCTTTCTTCAGATCTTTGCACTTCAAGAGTGCACTTCAATGAGTCTGAAGCTGGACTCATTGAGACCCTTGTGAGATTCATCGGCCGCCATATTATTATTATTATTATACCTTTTTCAGTCTGCCTTTTCTAGTGATGTAGCTATAAACTTGGAAATGCAACCACTCATAGTTACAGTTGCCATAGCCAGAACCACCAACCCATCCGGAGGGTTAAAAATGCAGACATTTTAGTCAGCCTGTATCAATGAATGAAGAACAGGTCTTTTGTGAAATTAATGGCTCTTAATTGCATATTTGAGACAAAGGCATCCTCAGGGCCATATTATTATTATTATATCTTTTTCAGTCTGTCTTTTCTAGTGATGTAGCTGTAAACGTGGAAGTGCAACCACTCATAGTTACACTTGCCATAGCCAGAACCACCAACCCACCCATAGGGTTAAAAAATGCAGACATTTTAGTCAGCCTGTATCAATGAATGAAGAACAGGTCTTTTGTGAAATTAATGGCTCTTAATTGCATATTCGAGACAAAGACATCCTCAGATACATTGCATTATGGTAGAGATAAGTTGCAACAGTACATTGTTCCTGGGAAAATCCATTTCTGGCCTAGCTAGTATAAGGACTGCAACTAAGCTTAGAGGAAACAGGTAGGCCTAAGGGTGATTGCAGGTGATGCCACTGTTTCTCCTACTTAGAATATCCCAGGAGTTGGATCCTTCACTCACCACTGGTCTTAATCCCTGCCAGTAAACATGGGGTTCAATGATTATAGACCTCCAATTCCAGGGCTTCCAGTCCTGAGAACCACTTTCATAACTGACAGAATTGTATGGGAAGCTCAAAAGATCACCATAAAATCAAGGCTGATATTTGCACTGTCCAGCCAACCTTTAGAAAACAGTCAAATAATGTCTGTATGAAAACAAAATTTAAAAACAAGACTACATGATCTGTCCCAGAAGGAGAAGGGGGGTAATGAGCTGAAGGGAGTTGTTTATACTGAATGCAATTCATGATATATAGGGGAAGATTATCCTTGGAATTGTATGGGAAGCTCAAAAGATCACCATAAAATCAAGGCTGATATTTGCACTGTCCAGCCAACCTTTAGAAAACAGTCAAATAATGTCTGTATGAAAACAAAATTTAAAAACAAGACCATATGATCTGTCCCAGAAGGAGAAAGGGGGGGGGTATGAGCCGAAGGGAGTTGTTTATACTGAATGCCAGTCATGATATATAGGGGAAGATTATCCTTGCTCCTAAGCTACAATGACTGGTTTGTAGATGTGCAGCACAATTAAATATGGCCAAGGCTACCAGCTATGCAGACCGTAGACACAAGCATTTGGGCAGAGCAGCCACCACAACGATTTTTGTGCTGGCCTTTGGGCCAAATTTCCACATAATTAGAATCAGGCAGGTCTTGTGGAACTTGACGCTACCAGACATCAGATTAAAAGAGGGGTTTTAAAAAAGCAGTGTTGACTGCCATCTGGTCAACATCACTGGCCATCACCACTGCCATCTAAATCAGTGGTTCTTAACCTTTGTTACTCGGATGCTTTTGAACTGCAAATCCCAGAAACCCCAGTCAGGACAGCTGGTGGTGAAAATTTCCACAAGAATCAGGCAGGTCTTGTGGAACTTGACGCTACCAGACATCAGATTAAAAGAGGGGTTTTAAAAAAGCAGTGTTGTCCACCACTGCCATCTAAATGACAGGTATCAAGGTAAGCCTCTCATCCCTCCCAATGCAAGCAGGGAGGCCCAAATCCTTTTGACATTTTCACATATCCACGTAAGCTTATGTGTGTGTCTCAGGCTAGTCCCATGGCATGTCCACCACTGCCATCTAAATGACAGGTATCAAGGTAAGCCTCTCATCCCTCCCAATGCAAGCAGGGAGGCCCAAATCCTTTTGACATTTTCACATATCCACGTAAGCTTATGTGTGTGTCTCAGGCTAGTCCCATGGCATGCCTAAATGACAGGTATGAAGATAAGCCTCTCATCCCTCCCAATGCACGCAGTGAGGCCCAAATCCTTTTGACGTTTTCCACATCTAAGGGCATCCACGAAAGCTTATATGTGTGTCTCAGGCTAGTCCCATGGCATGCATGGCTACATAATGACTGCCCTTGCATGATCATGTAGGACAGTGGCTCCCTAACGTGGGTAAAGTAGGCATTAGGTATGAAGATAAGCCTCTCATCCCTCCCAATGCACGCAGTGAGGCCCAAATCCTTTTGACGTTTTCCACATCTAAGGGCATCCACGAAAGCTTATATGTGTGTCTCAGGCTAGTCCCATGGCATGCATGGCTACATAATGACTGCCCTTGCATGATCATGTAGGACAGTGGCTCCCTAACGTGGGTAAAGTAGGCATTCTTTGACTGCCAATCTCAGAAACGCCAGCCAGCACAGCTGGGGGATGAAGGTTTCTGGGGACTGCAGTCCAAGAACACCTAGTTTACCCAGGCTTGGGAACCACTGAGGTAGGGCAACAAGATTTTGGCCAGTGTGTGAATGAAGCCGATGTCAAAGGAGGCTGGTGCATGAAGCTAAGTGGACCACTGCCCCCTTGCCTGGGAGCTAGAAAGAGTAGCAGAGGCTGCCCCTCATTTTCCCCAAGCAGAGAATTGAGTATAATATACAATATGCTAGAAGCTTACTGTACCAACATAAGAAACAATTCGTTTAGTTAGATGTTAAATTTTACCAAGCTTTTCTGCAGCATCATTGCAATAGAAAAAGAAGGGAACACAATCCAATTCGATCGTATCTCCTGCTGACTTGGGAGGCTTATGATTAGTCACCCTGCCCTTCCAGTCCTAGCAGCCACCAGCCACTACAGGCATTTGAAATCTTTCATCCCTGTTTTCTCTGGGTTTCAAAATTCATTTTTATCTGTATTTGCTGGCGGTGCTCTTGGTTTTTGCCCTAGAGACTCTGCCATCTTCCCCTGGCAACCTCTCCTGTATTTTCCCCGCTACTTATTCCATCTTTTGAATCCCCACAGAGGAAGGCAATTAAGGAAGACAAGAGAGAATGGTTGTACAATGTACTGTATTTTTGATTGGGAGTGCTCAGTCGGTGATCGTCCTGCTGTTAAGAAGCCTTGCTAATAAAAACTACGCTTCTGTTCGCCAAGATGTTTCGGCTCTGTGTCCATTTCCTCCTGCACTGCTTACCTTCTTCTTTCCGGTACATTTTCCACACCTTTTGCACATCATCATCCTTGGTTCTGCAACCGTTTTTGCATTTGCAGGAGGGGCTCTTGGGAAGCAAATATTCTTCTCTCTTCATTAATTCTCCGTCGACCCCATTTTCAGATTTGTACATGCTTTCATTTGCTCTCCCTTAGTAATTGTGAGTGCATTGTTTCTAAGTTGCTTTAGGCACAGTGAAATTCTCTCTCATGAAATGATTTAGGCCACCAATTTGTAAAAGATCTGCTTCTTTTCATTTTCATCTTTTAAAAAATTGCATTGCAAATGGAACAAGGTTACAATAATCAGAAGTAGTAACATTTTGAAGAGAGAGAGAGAGAAAAAAACTCCCAAACAGAATACAAGAATTTAATTGCAAATAATCTTTTACACTGAACATCATTTTATATTTAATATACATGAGCTAATTATTTATATTAAAACAGAATATCCATCATGCATCTCATTGCTGGGGCAGCACTGACAGCGACTGAGAAAATGGGTACAAGATATGTGCAACCCACCCACTGTGCATTGACTCCTCCTTTTCTATATAATTGGACAAGATTTTGGTGTAAATATACAAAAGTGCTCCCATTCTCATACCTGGTTTGGCCCCAGCAACACAGTCAACAGAGCTGTGTGATAAAGTGCTATCATTAAGAATATATTTGGAATTTACTAAACCATCGAGTTACATTTTATGCTGAATTTGGAAAACAAAAGCTGTTTAGTTTTCACTGACTTGCTAATGCCATGATAGAGAAACAGGTCTTTTAAGAACCCACAACGATCCGACGACTTATGGCACCAGGCAAAGTGTAGATGAAAAGCACTAAGAACACAACCAAGATAAGGAGAATGAACCCAATGATGATGTATTTCTTGTAATTTCTCCAGATGAGGTAAAAGAAACACTTGAAAGGATTCACAAACCAGGAGAAAGAGGTGTCAGGCCGGCTGAAAAAGGAATTGGAGAAAAAAGGAGAAAAACACATTAGCATCGTCACATGCACAGAAATAAAAAATTAGTAGCATCATTATTTTAACCTTCCAAAACCACTATATCTATTTCATTTTGATAAAATGTAAAACATGATACAGATCACTGCTAAGTGATTCGTTCATTTGCTCAGCACTCTGCCTTTTTTACAAAAAATCCCAGTCCATAGGTCTCTCCCCCGAATGCTTGGGCAACGTTAACCTTGATAATGCCTGTAAACTATTGGTATTACGGCTGACGGACATTGAAAGACAAAACCATGTTGCAGCCGCCACCAGAACACGCTCTCCTCTTTTCTTCAAACTACCGTTTACAATTGGACAGATTCCCAGGTACTTCGCTTTCCTGGAAAATCCCCAGTTGCGACGTGCTTTTACATTAGCAAGATGCAACGTCATGCCTACACAAGAGCTGGCTGCCTCATTTTCTCACAATGTAAGCTCAACCTGGTGCCGAGACTGTACCTGGAACACCCCCGAAACCTTGGAGCACCTAATATGCAGCTGCCCTAGTTGTAAGGACATGAGGGCTAATTACATTACTCCATTACTTATGGGGCCCCCAGGAGTTAGCCCGAATAGCATTTTGTTCTATCTGTTGTCGTCAACGGACAAGGAGACTACCACTAGGGTGGCGCTCTTTCTTAACGGTGTCCTAATGAGGAAAAGAGCAAAATCCGACAAAACTACATACTACAAGGTTTAAACCCACGATTGACCAACCAGGGAGTTAATCGACCAAATATGCACATAAAAGCGGAGCTACTCGGGAACAACTATATAATGGAACAAAGATCCCATTTATATTCTGCCTAATTTTAATTTTGACTTACCTGTTAATTTGTTATTCTGTATATGCCTAATAAAGGTTTCTGAACTGAACTGAATTTACATGCCTTTTTAAAAAAATCACCCTGAAACAGTTCATTTTTAGAAAAAAATTTCCCGGAGTCTTTCTAGAATTAAATATGTTTAAGCAGACAGGGAGAAAAATAAGATTTATTTGAAAAGCCAGTGCTATCCCATGAAATGGAAAATGTCAATGGAAGGTGCTTTAGACTTGGGTCTATTTACAGCATAAGATTGGTCTATTTACAGCATAAGATTACTTGACATGTTTAGTGTGGAGGTAGTTACATGTCACTGGATCTCATATGGCACCATGTTTACTGATATGAGAAGTCAGTATGATACTGCCCCCATCCCATGTGGTCATGAGAACTAGAGGTGCACAACTTGTGTCCCTCCAGATGTTGCTATATAGACCAGCCATTCTCAGTGGGGAGGCCATATGGTCCCCTGGAGGCTCCTGGCACATTTGAAGGGGGCCACAGACTGAAAATAATTCTTCACACACTACCTTGTAAGGTTTATTTTGTGACTTATACAATCCTGATCTTTTACATTGTCTTTATAGGTAAAGGTAAAGGTTCCCCTTGACATTTAGTCCAGTCGTGTCTGACTCTAGGGTATGGTGCTCATCCCCGTTTCCAAGCCGTAGAGCCAGCATTTGTCCAAAAACAGTTTCCATGGTCACGTGGCCAGCGCAACTAGACACGGAATGCCGTTACCTTCCCACTGTGATGATACCTATTTATCTATGCGCATTTACATGCTTTTGAACGGCTAGGTTGGCAGGAGCTGGGACAAGCGATGGGAGCTCACTCCATCACGTGGATTCGATCTTATGACTGCTGGTCTTCTGACCTTGCAGCTCAGTCGCTTCTGCAGTTTAACCTGCAGCACCACCACGTCCCTAATTGTCCTTATAGCCATGGCCAAAAAAAGGTTGAGAATGACTAATAGAGGCTATAATTCTCATCAACTTTAGCTGGTCTATCCAGTGGTCAGAGGTGGGGGATGTTACACTCCATCAACATCAGAAGGGCCCCAACTGGAAGAAGCTTCTCATTAAAAAAACCAACAACCCAACCTATTTGATCTCACTGAGTTACATGGTGAGCAGGCTCAGCCTTTTTTGGGATTGCCACAGGTGTGATCTTACCAGCTTGGAAGCTCATCAGCTTCCCAACTTCTGGGCTATTTCTCTTGGACCAAAGAACATAAGAAGAACCTGGCTGAATCAACACAAAGGCATACAAGCCATCTGATTCACCATCCTATTTCTGACAACATCCACCTATAAACACTTCTAGGTAGCTTACAGAGCATCAGGGCAGTGGATGTATCTGGCTGTTTGTCATCTGCATGAGATGCCCAGGAGTAAACTAAGGAGGGTGTGTGTGGCCCTGTCATTAGGGAGAGGGAGGTATCCACCTGCAGCAGCAGATTTAAGGTATTATAAACAGGCAGCAAACTGCTAAGTTATTTCTTTGTTATGATTGCACTCTTACAGTTGGCAGTAGGAAGCGGTCCATGTGGGATCTTCTGCTTCATAAGCCAGAATAAGGATGTTAAGGATTACATACACTGACCAGGGAGAGGGGGCTCCATCTGCCTCAGGCAGAAAAATGTCTTGGGCTGACCTGAGCATGGGAACCCTTTGAATATGGAATTTCAAGTCAACATCAAATGCAAGTAGACACAGAGTAACTCTTCCAACAGTCAGGCTTATTGTCTGCTTGGACAGTCTGACTGGGAAACAAACAGACTTTACAATGGAGAGGTGAGTGTATTCCACTGTGGAGAATTAATCATGGTGGGAAGAGTTCAGCATTACTGTATCCACTTGCCAAGTTGTCTCTAGTAACGCCCCTCCAGCTACATTAGCACAGTAAGACAAACACCGGGCTGGGATCTTTCACTGGCTTAGTACTGTGTAGTTCAAGGCATTTTTCTGCCTCAGGCAAAGGCCAGACTAGCACCCGAATCCATTCTATATTCAGATGCCAAACAGACTAACACAGGGATGGTGCTCAACACTGTGCTGGATGGCCATAGGTTGGTTTCTCGGGTGCAAGGCTGGCCACCTGGCACACAGAGCAATACCTTTCAGTTACTGTGTCAATGAAGAAATGGTCCAGAGGGAAAACACTGTGTTCCTCATTAGTCTGTTCCATTTCCCAAGCCATTCCTCCATTTGGGACATCCAGATCACCCAAATATTGGTAACAGATCTTCAGTTTCTGATCCATCAGAGTATAATAGAAAGTATTACACGGCTGATAACTTTATACTTACTTGGGCTTTTCCAGTGGTTCTGGTTCTTTCCGAGCTTTACCTACAGGATTTTTCTCAGCTTCCTCTGCTGTGACTAAATGAAATTCAGCTTCCACTTTGCCCTAGAGTGAGAAAATTTCTTTGTGGTTCAAAGTATTTAAACATCTCACAATGAGTTCTCCATCCACTAGCGTTTTTCAGTAGTTCATAAAATGTATTCTCGAAGGCTTTCACGAAAATTTCTTTGTGGTTCAGAGTATTTAAACATCTCACAATGAGCTCTCCATCCACTAGCATTTTTCAGTAGTTCATAAAATGTATTCTCAAAGGCTTTCACGGCCGGGATCTGATGGGCTGTTGTGGGTTTTTCAGGTTCTTTGGCCGTGTTCTGAAGGTTGTTCTTCCTGACATTTCGCCTAACCCTAACCCTGCTCCAATCCTCTGAAGATGCCGGCCACAGAAACTGGCAAAACGTCAGGAAAAACAGCCTTCAGAACATGGCCAAAGAACTCGAAAAACCCACAACAACCATCAGTTCATAAAATATAGGCACTTCGAAGTCCTATGCGGAGGTGGCTCAATAACAAAACCACTTGGCACATATAGGGTCTTTTTACATTTATGAATAATAATTAGAAACAGAGAAAACTTCCTACTGGCAGTTTTCAAACTGGAAAATGCACACATTTGGGGCTCAATAACAAAACCACTTGGCACATATAGAGAACAATTTCATTTATTCTGAGTAGAGATGGGCAGGAGAAGTAGTCCAGCAGTTTGGCCCAATTCAGTGCAGTGCCCACACTCTCCACTTCTGCCTCCTCTGCACGGTCTTGCTCATTCTCTGGGCAAAGCATGCTTCCCTCCCTGCCTCCTCAGTGTGCCTGGCCAGTCAAAGGGAACGCTGCAAGCTTCCCGGCCCTGCCTCCTTATCTGAGTGGGCAGCTGCTGGAGGAGGCAGAGGAGGGAAGCACACATTGCGATTGGTGAGTGGGCAAGTCACACTAAGAAAGTGGGGGAAGAAGTGTGCTTCACTCGGGGAATGGGCAAGCATGAAGAGGTGGTGGGAGAGGAGAGTGTGTAGTGTCCGCATCTGTGCGGGTGCTGCGCCAAACTGTTGTGCATCCATGGATGTCAGAAGGAGCATGATTAAGCTCCACTCCTTTTCAGTCAGTTTCCTTTCTTCCAACCTTCCCACCCCACGTTTATGGCATCGTATGTTTGATGCTTGGCATACTGCTGTAGATGCACCCTTGACACAAGAAACGCAGGGGAAAGAAATTTTTCCCAGTGGTGCTGATGACAGTAAATAGCAGTGGGGAAGTCGCAATATTCCATGGGCGCAGGTCTGCCTCCATTCAAATCACAGCCAGAAGAGAATTTGGAGGCTTATAAGCTTGGTAGAGATACCGAGAATGGTGTATCAGACAGACTAGGACTCTGGAGGCCTATTTATCTATTATCTATTTATTTTTTTAAAAAAACATCCCTCACTGGTATTGGCATGAAAAATTCAAAGTTTTTTTTTAAAAGTGCTGATTGTTTACCGTGAGTTCTCCAGCTTTGATAAAAGGCCACCAGCCTCTGACCCGTTTCTGCTGAAATATGGAAATCTTATTCTCCTCGCTGGTTGCAGTTACCATGCTGATGTCACACCGCTTGGATGACTTTGCTGCTGGAGGAAACCCATTCAGGTTCATCTCAAGGGAGCCTGGGATGAGGAAGAAATAAAATTCCACATCATTCAGGGATCTAACAGGAATGGTTTCCGGCTCTGATAAATTCAGACAAACTCTGAATGCTTACAAAGAATATAATCTGTTTATAACTTCCCGCAACTTCCTGGTTTTCCCCAGTGATTTGGAGGACAATGGCATATTAACACAGAACTGCCTCAGAGAGCTGTTACGCTAGGGAAGAAAACATTGCATTTGAATTGGGGTTTAGCATGTTCTAAATTAATTTTTTAAAAGGTGTTTCTACGACATATGTGGAAACATGGATTGCTTTGACAGGGAACCATGTTATTTTGATTGGAGGTGAGGTATTTTACTTTTCCAACAGAGGGTCATTTATTATTACTCAGATGCCAAATTGATTTATTTTGAATATGTGAACACTTCTGTCCATGTAAATTATGTCTGTGGGGTTTGCTACTCACTAGTGTGCCTACAGTGTTCCCTCTCCTTCACCGTGTGTGTGTGTGTGTGTTGTACCCTCAGTTTCAGCCCCAGCTGTATATCTCCCTTTCCTTCTCCAGAGCAGCAGCAGCTATGAGTGGCTGTGAGAGGCAGCCAGCTGTTGTGTTATTTTCACCTATATTTTATTTTTATTTCTTGCAATCTGGTATAGCACTAGAACAGAATGAGAGATAGGGAAGGGGAAAAAAAATCAAAGCACAGGTTTCCCTACAGCCCAACACCCATGCACTGAAACAGGCAGATGAAATGATCTGGATAGGCTGAAGCACTGGGTTGAAAACAAGACAATGAAATTCAACAGGGATAAGTGCAAAGTACTGCACCTAAAAAAGAGAAACCAACCACGTTACAAGATGGGAGATACCTGGCCTGCCATACTACAAACCAGAAGGATCTTGAAATCATTGTAGATTAAAAGCTGAACGTGAGTCAACAGTGTGATGTGGCTACAAAAGAGGCAAATGCTATTTTAGCCTGCATTAATGAAAGTATAGTCTCCAAATCCCATGAGGTACTAATTCCCTTCTATTTGACACTGGTTAAACTTCATCTTGAATACTGTGTCTAGTTCAGGATGCCACACTTCAAAAAGGATGCTGACAAATTGGAACAAATTCATAGGAGGGCAACAAGGATGATCGGGGGGGCTGGAAACCAACCCCTATGAGGAAAGACTGAAAGAACCAGGCATGTTTTAACTTTGAGAAAAGAATACTGAGGGGCCGTATGATAGCACTTTTCAAATATTGGAAAGGCTGTCATACAGAGGAGGGGCAGGATCAGTTCTCGATCATCCCAGAGTGCAGGACACACAACAAGGGGCTTTCTATAAGCCAGATTTTTGTTGAATATCAAGAAAAATGTCCTAACTGTTAGAGCAGTATGACAGTGGAACCAGTTACCTCAGGAGGTGGTGAGCACTTCAACACTGGAGGCATTCAAAAGAAATCTGGATAACCACCTGGTAGATATCCTTTGTTTATATTCCTGCATTGAGCCCGGGGTTAAACTTGAAGGCCTTTTAGGCCCCTTCCAATATTAGGGTTCTATGACCTTGAGCTCAAAGGTGCTTCTTACCCTTGCTATAAAGCAGTGGTGGGGAAAGTGTGGCCTAGAATTACCAACATTCCCTGTGTCACACTTTGCTATAAATGTGTGGCATGTCTTCACTATTTTGGATCCATGACCATGCGGAAGAAGCAACCTGGGGAACAGTCTGAACCATCTTCCTGTCATTAGATGGTACACAGCAAGTGTCAGCATGATCAGATACCATGTTCCTCCCTTCTCCCTTCTGGTCTTCCACTGCTAGCCTCCCATTGCAAGCAGAATCCATAATCTGCCATTACGACCTCAATCCTACAGAACTGGGCAGCAACACTGTCATCCTATATTTCCAGCCTAAGGCGCTGCTTTGCTCAGATCTGGGCTTACCCAAGAAGTCATCAGAAGAAAGCCTCTCAAAATCCCACACCTGGAGCACCAGTTCTGCCGGGATTTTGCGTTCTGTCTTTTCCAGAGAAAAGATGTTCTCTCTTTTGGAAACCACCACCTGTTTCTCGGCTGGAAGATAATGGAAAGGGAACACAAACCGCCAGTTGAAATTCCCTTCTCCAGTCAAAGAGTTGTAATGCACATCTGTCTCCTGCCTGTCATCTTCAAGGCCTTTCAACCACCTGTCGAGAAGCAAGCAAGAATCAACATGGGATTGGAAAGAGTCTAAATGAAAATTAGCCCAAGTTTCTTTGCGAAGAAGTGCCCTGAAGTATTCTGGACAAGTATCTACCCAAATTGGGTTTTTCCAAACACTTCCATGGAAGACGTCCATTTACAACAAAGATGTTTCCACGGAATTACATGAATAAGTCTTCCTGATTGTAGAATGAAAGTTTTATCTGTACAAACACATCCTGCAACAAAAGGCAGTCATGGATGACATTGTTTGGCTAGCACTCATGTTATCTGCAATCTATTAAGTCAGCCTACAAACCTAGAACCCAGCAGAACCTAGATCCCGAACCTTAGGGTCAAACAAGAGGAGGCAATAGCTTTCCAACTAGAAGTCAGTTGGTCCCTCAGTTCTTCATGTGCGAGCAATTAGATTTGAAAACAAAACCCATGTTTGCCTCCCATGGCCAATCACAAAACAGAAGTATGCTAATTTGCAACACAGAGAGGTGAAGAAAACATGTGCTAGAATAAACAGGTGTCTTTCACCACATAAGGGAGCTTCATTTTGTGATACCTAGATCATCTAACTTGACACTTAAGTAATGATCTTATGGAGGTCCTTTTTAGACCACTGTGAGACAAAGCAACCAACTAAAATATCCCTCCTTCTCCCACCTGCCAGGCCACACTTTACAGAAATTTCTACACTTTCAGTAAAATGCAGCAAAACAACAAACTATTTGCCAAACCTGAAAAAACTAATATTCTCAAAACATTGCTTAACATTCTAAAGTACTATCATGACTACAGGAATAATACGGCATTTGCTCTGGCACGCTTGACGCTAAGATAAACACATCTTTTTGGTAATAAGCACCAGTTTTGCTGGTTGAAGGGACTGTCGTTTTTTTAAAAAAAGGAAAAGGAGCATCTGAAAACATATGTGTGTCTAGCCAGCCATGGCCTATAAAATATGTTTAAAAATGAAAGCAAGGATGCTGTACGAGTTGATCCGTAAAGGCACAGTGGCAGAAGGAATATTTATTTAATAGCTTCTTCTTAGGATTTAATCACGGAACAATTTTGTTTACATTCCTGGCATGGCTTAGCTTTTAGTGCAACTGCAGGATATACTGTATAATCAGCAGAAAGATTAAGAGAGAGTGTGTGTATTGAATTGCAGCAGAGTGAAGCCCTTCAGACAGAAAACCATCCTCTAAAAAATGGGGCATATGGCCACTCTTACCTGTGTGAGAGAGCTTATTCAGTTTTAAATAGAGGACAAGACAGAAACCATTGTTTCTTAAAGGAGTGAAACAACAGCCAACCATTTTAGGAAAATTAACAACGGAAAGCGGCATACAACCACTATCCAAGGTGAACATTTCGGGGAATTAATTATTTATGTAATAAGTCCTTCTCTGTTCAAAGGGGTTCCTGGTCCATACGTGGCTCAAGTGTAAAGAATCACTCCATGAGTTAGGTGTCTGGTTGTGGAGCCAGAGATTGAGAGTTTGTTCATGCTGAAACAGCGACATCTACGTTGGCTTGGGCATGTCGTAAGAATGGCTGACAGTCAGATTCCAAAAGATCTCCTGTATGGAGAATTAGTGCAGGGAAATCACCCCAGAGAGAGACCACAGCTGCAATACAAGGATATCTGCAAGCGGGATCTGAAAGCCTTAGGAATGGACTTCAACAGTTGGGAAACCTTTACATCTGACCGTTCAGCCTGGAGGCAGGTGGTGCATCACGGCCTCTCCCAATTTGAAGAGACCTTTGTCCAGCAGGCCGAGGCAAAGAGGCAGTCATGAAAGCAGCAAAACCAGGGAGCTGGACAGGGGACAGATTGGATATGTCTTCAGTGTGGAAGGGTTTGTCACTCTCGAATTGGCCTTCTCAGCCACACTAGATGCTGTTCCAAGTCCTCCATACAGAGCACGATACCATAGTCTCTCAAGACTGAAGGATGCCCGATCCTAAAGTGCCTCTCAGGAAAACAGCCAGTCTGTGTGGCGTTGGCCAAGTTATAGAATCCCAAAGCATGTCCAGAAGAAGTGAATGATAAACCACTTCTGAGTATTCTGTACCTAGAAGAAAAACTGAAAGGGCTGCTATACCTCAGAATTGATCTGACAGCGCTTAAGTATTATTATTGAGAAGGGTGCAGGGCCTTGAAGCTGTCCACTGACAAGGAGTTCCTAATCAGAAGATTGGATGGATGCTAGATCACAATCTTCCTCACTACCATGAGATGCACTGTATTTCTCCTTTCTAAATATCTAAATCAGTATGCAGAAATTCCATGCAGGTATGTGTCCTCTTTTCTTTTTAAGCTTGGTGATCTGTTAAGTGGCTATTCTACAGATAGGTCTCCATACAAACATTGGCCCCATCTTTATCCTGATAAAGAGACAGCCTGGATGGAATGTCTTCCCTGTGAAGGGACAGATTCACAGTTCCAACATGCTCCTGGACCCAGATTTAGTCGTAAAATAGTTGCATGAATTATCTGTCACTAGTTCCAGCCAGAGAGCCTTCTGCACTCTGTCCTGGATAGAGGTAGTCTGGTCTGTTACTCACATTCTGGCAAATTCATGTATGGACTGCTGCAAGGCATTACACTTGGGTCTGCCTTCAGCTGATAAAAGGTTTTGACTGGCACTGCTCACCAAGCTGACATCTCTCCAGTTTTGATAGAATAGTACCAGCTGCATCTTTGATTTCAGGTCCGCTTCAAAACTACTTGGGTTTATCCTTAAAGACCCAGAGAACTTCAAACCCAAGTAACTGTGGGATCACATCCTCCCATAACCAGCCTGCCCATATGTTAGGATTCTCAGTCAATGCCCTATTCCAGTTATCGCCTTTCTCAAAGTTGAGATTTGTTTTAACAAAAGAGAGGGGTTTTTTTTGTGGGCTGTGGCACCATATTCAGAATACTTTCTCAAAAGTCAGATTGCTTGCCTGCAGCCTTATAAAGCAACAGGACATGTTTTGGTTTAAATGCACAATTAAGGGAATAAACTCTTAAGGACTGTGGTTCTCTTCCATATTGAGTAAAGCAAGCCGGCAAGCCGAGAGGGCAACATATTTGATGTTTTTCTCCCCTCCTCCATTGGTCCCACTTTGGACAGCACTCTGATTAATTAATTACCACAACAGCATCCCATGGACATTGCAGACACTGAGGCCAGGTGTAAACTGGTCCTCTGCAACTTCAGAATTCTGATTTTCACTCCTGGAAGCATGGCACCTCATTTTCTATGCCTGTCAGACCAGTCACCGCCTGCTTAATTCCAGTCAGGGGTTGAGTTTCTGACGAGCCACGGCCGCAAAATGCCAGAGCCACCAACTTGTCACATAGAGCTTGCTCATACCACTGTGACTCATTTTTGATGGATGTCTTAGGTCACAAATTAATTCACTTGTCAATGAATAAATGAGGAGATTCACAGGCCGTGCCTGGGTGAACTTACCCTTTCACATAGATATCACTTGATTTTTGTCCTGTAAATATATTCTCATCCTCTAAAATGACGTCTTCAGTATTCCAGATGATTACTCTCAGTTCATAACTGGGGTGAGTAAAAAAAAAATGAACCAAGAGGGAAGATGAAGTTACATTAGCAGACATTGCTTCTTGATTTGTAGCTCAAATCATTCTGGTTGCATTTACAGGGCCAGATGCTATGATGACATTACCGAAACTTAATAAAAGAAACCGGGTTTAATGAAATTGAGGACTTCCTTTGGATGTTAAAATGGAACAAATCAATGCTTCCTTCATGGTCAACTGATGCAATAAAATGCTTCTCTATACACCTATGTACGTTGCAAGTGTATATTACTTTTGTACCAATACAACTGTCATTGGTTCTCCTATCACCTCTCAATCATGGGAACAACAGTTTGTAGAATGCTTAGATCAGCTGGGGGGGGGACTTGTGCCCTTCCAGGTGCTGCTGGCCTCCGACTCCCATTATCCTTGACTACTGAACATGCTGTCAGAAGTAGATGAGAGTGGAAAATTGAACTACAACATCCGGAAGGCCACAGGTTTTTCATATGCAATGAGAGATCCTTGTCTTGCCTCTTTCACTAAACTATAGTTTACAGCATTCCATTGGGACATGAAATGACAATTGTATCCATTAAAGACTTTACACGGAGAGTAACTGCAGCAATAAAAGGCAGCAATGAAGAACCATTGGCTATCCAGCTGTATTGACTGGGAGACTCTGGAAAATGTAGTTCCTTTTTCCCAAGCCCTATGAAGGAAAGCAAAACCAGCTCAAAATTTAGCCAGCCTTTCCTCATATGGCCATGTTTTCCATATGCTTTTTTTGGGTGGGGTTTTTTTAAAAAAAACCAAGAAAACCCAAAATGTGCATTTGAGGTAAGTCATTCTGGGGAAATTTCATGCACACTAGTTAGAGCCTTTCCTGTGTGGTACCATGAAAGGGAACAAACATTGCGGTCAATACAGGAAGTGTATCCCCCTTCATGGACATCATCTTTGGTCCATGATTAATATTTTTATTTTATTTTATTTATTTGATTTTGGGGACATCATCTTTGGTCCTTTATTAATATTTTTTTAATTTTTTTTATTTGATTTGTATCCTGCCCATCTGGTCTATGCGACCACTCTGTGCGGCTAATAAAGATCTCTTCTGCCATTGTTCAAGGAGGCTTTGATCAATCTATACAGAATAAAAACTAAAGGATTTGTGTGCTCTCGAGTGATGTCAGCATGTAGCCAAATTTGCTAGGCTACACAGAGTCAGGATGTCATCATGTCTGCAGTGCGATTCCATTATTGCCAGGGATCACTCTCATAAAAAGATACCACCAGCCCTCCTTCCCAAAAAGAGTTCTATCAAAACAGAAGCAGCAAGTGGGTCAGGAAGAAACAGACGAGCATTTATTCACACAGATATGAAAGCTGCTTTGTTTTGGACCACAATTCCCCAAATCCATAGCTACCATCACATTTGCTGTGGGATTTCTTTATCTGTTTGCAACTTTACCCATATCTGGGTACAATAATGTGAACAGAAGGACTGAATTCAGCTTCTAACACTTACAAATTGAAGTTCTGCATGTACATAAGTGGTATTTATTAAATAGAGGTTCTTCTTGCTAGGTAAAAAAAAGCTTAAGTTATAGCTTAGATTGAAAACAAATTAGCTGCTCTGAAGCTGACTTATTTTGGCACATCATTAATTCTTCAGTGGATGGAGACAAAAGTTTTATGGGGTCTTTGTCAGAGGCAGTTTCAGAGGGAATAAAATTGATGTGCTAATTGTTTCTCCAGAACCAGCCCGGACCAAAAGATCATTGCCCACTGTTCTCATTAAATGCATATTTAATAAGCCTTGACTTTCTCCTGATTTTTATATCTGCTCTACATTTATCTCACTTTTTCTGACCTACTACCCAGTACAATGAAATTAGCAGTCTTGTTATCATAAGCCATGCAGGCAAACCTGGGCCAAATTACTTGAAATAACTGGGCCCAGGCAGATATTTTTGTGTTATTTATAACAAAGGAGGGCCAATATGCATTTGAAACAGAAATCCCCATTTGTAATGTGAATATTTCTCTCACTTCTCATAGTGATCTTGTGAAGATTTTTATATGGTTCTAAAAACTGCAATACCTATATAAGCAGATCAGGCACTCAAACAAAAGAGAGTCAATTCCAGCTCGTTAAAGGGTCCTCTTAGGTATCTGGAAGTGGAAGGAAGTTGAAGTACAGCGAAGAAAGAAGGAAAGAGCCTCGTAGTGCAGTGGTTGATCTGCAGTATTGCAGGCAAAACTCTGCTCATGACCTGGTCCAGTCCCAGGTACTGTAGCTGGCTTGAGGTTCATTCAGCTTTCCATCCTTCCAAGGTCAGCAAACTGAGTATCCAGTTTGTGGGGGTTGGGGTGGGGAATGCGTAGCCTGCATAATTAAATTAAAAAGCATGCAGAGAGTGCTTTAAGCACGATGAGGCAGTATATAAGCAGCATGCTTTTGATTTACTTTTTTTTAAGGCAAAGAGGACAAACTGTCTTAATCTCCTTTCTGCCACTACAGAGACTACATCAGCACACTTTCTGTTAATCCTGGACCTAGATGTCTTAGTATACTGTGTGCACCACACTCCTCCTGACCTCAGTAAGCAGGCCACTTAATGTAGCATTGGGAAACGTTTAGCCCTTCAGCTATTTTGGACTTCAACTCCCAGCAGCCCTAGCCAACATAGCCAAAGGTAATGAATTGTGGAAGTTGTAGTCCAAAACATCAGGAGCAGCAAAGGTTCCATATTCCAGGCTTAATGTATCAGGGCCTAAAAGAATACTGGGGAGGGGAAGAAAATAATATACAGTCATGGCCATTTGCAATTCTGACTCTTGCAATTCTGTCAGAAAATGCAACCCAAGGGTGCCAATATTTTTGGCCATGACTGTGTATATTTACTGCATGGGAAGCAAAGCTACTTTCAGTTCATTTCAAATTCTTTTTAAAAGGAGCATTTTTATTTCTCGCCTAACTTAACATAGCATTGCAGCTACATCTTGAACTTTTCTTGGCTACCAAAAAATACTTTGCAACTTCAACCTTTTTTCTCACCAGATTTCTATAAAAGCATTTTAAAAGGCACATTTTAGACTGAGATGCACTTATTTTTGCACATTGCTGTTGAGGGACAGAATGTAGGAGGTGATATGCTTTTAAATTTGGAGTTGCTTATATGGAAAATGTAAAATGTTGTGAAAACAGCCTGGAAAAGATGCAGTTTTACTAGCTGACAGCAAGTGTGTTTTTGCAGTTGGAGGGAAAGAGTGGGTGTAATGAATTACCCTTTGGGTTTTCTGGGTGAAATATCAACGGGTGGTCCCGGGAGAGGCATGTCCTTAGGAAACATATCCACCCACATCTGCACACGACCCTTTAGGAAAGGAAACACAAAGCATAAAGAATGAGGTTTCAGGTTGATTAATATTCCCCCACCGAAGAAAAACCCAGGAAAGTCCTCACACACACCCTTCCAATAGGAGGGGCTTCTATTAGCTCAAATTTCTTTCCATGGAAAGAAACAGCCCTCTGTTCCAAGAAAATAGGATATCACTTTATATTTTGCCAACACACACACACACACACACACACACACACACACACACACACAGAGAGAGAGGAGAATAAAATAATATATATTAATTCATAACTGTGATGCAAATTTAGAAATAACTATTTCAAATAGAAGTGTGAAATGTTTGCTTGCACACATATATGTGCATGCACACACACACAAACAGGAGAATAAAATAATATTTATTAATTCATAACTTTGATGCAAATTTAGAAATAACTAATTATTTCAAATAGAAGTGTGAAATGTTTGCTTATTTTGAGAACAGGGTGACCAAGTAACTTGAATGCCCATTCAATTTCTAGGTGCTAATGGTACGTATATGGCAACTTCAAGGCCCTTGATGTCTCTTCTCATGAGACTGTATTTTTAAACTGAACTTGGACTGGTCAACATTTCAAACAGAAGAAACTCCTCTTGTTGAATCTGTTGTTGAAACTGTGGTTTCAATTGCAGGCAGTTTCTCAATCAGCACTTCAGACAAGGCAAATAAACTTTAAAAAAAGAATCTAAGTGATGCAGCACATCAGCGATGATCTAGCACATTCAAAAAACAATAACTTCACTTTCCCTGCCCCTCCACCACGGAGCTTCAAAATAATAATAATTTCACTTTCCCTGCCCCTCCACCACGGAGCAGTGTAGATAAGCCCAAGGTTCCCTTGTCAAATAAACTGTTTCCTTAAACAGTTTATTTGACAAGGTAAATGTGTTGACATTATACGTGAAGGCACAGAGAGCTAATTATAAGCATACATAGGGTATTATAAGGTTAATAGACTATTGAGTGGATAAATAAATGCTTAATATCATTGTGCAATTTTTAGGGAAGGAAGCAGACCTAGTTAAGCCAGGATCTAAAGGAGGAACTAAAATGAGGTACTGTAGTGGCTCATAATGCATCTGGTTTATACTTGGATGTCCAAGTACAAACATGCCTTATTGAGTAGAAATTTTGAAGTTGCCAGTGAGTTGGGGAAATGTCTGGCCTGAACAAAACAGAAAGAAATGCAAGAAATAGGATTTCCTATTACTAAAAAAGGTGCCCTTAATTAGAAAAGGTGGGCTTACACAGGAGTAAGGGCAAATCATCATCCAATTTGAGAATTACGCGTAATCAGGGGAGGGTTTTTTGGGCCGTAGGAAATTAAGTTGGAAGGGGTTAAAGATTATGGACGAAGAAAGCATTATGTTGAAAGTATCTTCCTCAGATAAATGCCTCCCCCCAGGTAGGTGCTCTACCTTTTCTTTGTGAGGGTATAGAAAATTTAATTTTCGGAGTGCCTTATTTTACTTCTGCTGAAATTATACTTCTACAATAAACACCTTTAATTTAACCGGACTTCTCTTTGTTTCTGAGAAATCCTTGAAAGAGAATGGACAATTCATATAAAAAAGTAAGGAGTGTGGGGTGGGTGGGACCTCTTTTCATGGAGCTGGTAATTAAAACAAGCCACAAAGCTGACTGGAGGTCTGGTTCAAAATACATCTTACATAATTTGCTAACTCCGACAGCCTTTCGCATAAAAGATTGTCTTTTGTGAAACAAGGCTGCCTTAAGGGCAGTTCAAGTTCTAGGCCTATGTATGCTGCTTTCAGGTGACATGGTGGTGCTACAGGTTAAACCACAGAAGCCTCTGTGCTGCAAGATCAGAAGACCAGCAGTCGAAAGATCGAATCCACATGACGGAGTGAGCTCCCATCGCTTGTCCCAGCTCCTGCCAGCCTAGCAGTTTGAAAGCATGTAATAATTCAAGTAGATAAATAGGTACCACCTCGGTGAGAAGGTAATGGCATTCCGTGTCTAGTGATGCTGACCACGTGACCACAGAAACAGTCTTCCGACAAATGCTGGCTCTATGGCTTGGAAATGGGGATGAGCACCACACCCTAGAGTCAGATAAGACTGGACTAAATGTCAAGGTGAACCTTTACTTTTTATGCTGCTTTGAGTGCCATGGGGAAAAAACCTGGGATGTAACTAGCAAGATAGAAAAAAGAGCTGGAAGGTTTCTCTTTCACCATTTCACCAAGCTGAAGTGTTTACCTGCTCCATGCCAGGCTTATCTTTGTGGTAGATCGGTCGTGTCTCAATGTGTTCAGGCACCAGCTTACATCCAACATCTGGAATGTCATTCCAAGAACGCAACACTCTCAGGGCTAGGTGTTCATACGATTCTACTGGTTCCTCTGCAGGAAAAAGGGAAATTCAAAATGAACAGGCAGAGTTGAGGCTGCACATAAAGCAGGATTGCTGTGGTTGCCTCAGTTAATAAAAAAAGGTTTTATTAAAAATCTGCTTAAGTACAAAGTTGCATTGAATGACACTAAAGGAAAAAATGTCACAACACTGATTCTGCACTTGTCTCTGAAAACGCCTCAAGGGACAATAAGGCTTTGCATGCAGAAAAGAAAGCTAATCTCTAGTAAGCTATGAATAGATGGAAGCAATATGCAATATGATCAGGTGAAAGAGAATGTGTGGTTATGAACAGGATATGCATGAATATAATTTGCATAAATTGAATATACACAAACCTGGGTGAGAAGACAGTCTACCCACATTGCAGTGCATTGAGATGCATATTCTGATACTGTATGCATTTAAAGTTGTATTTCTACCCATATTAATATGCAGTAGCAAATGTCTTAATAATAATAATCTTAGAACTGCAGAAAGCAAATGTCTTAATAATAATAATCTTAGTACTGCGGAGCTGGAAGGGAATCTATAGATCATCAAGTCCAGGCCCTGTCAAGGAGGCACCGAATGGGAATTGAACTTCCGACCAGATACCTAAGCCACTGAGCTATCCAGAAATTATCGTAATATAGTTAGTTACCTTGCTTCTGTCCAGTTAGAGCTAGCCCATGAAAAATTGTGAGGGAGTTCCTATTTTCCATCCCCAACCCCCCTATAATTAATTTACTCAAAGATTCCCTAATGCTATTTACTGCCTTAATTAAGAAATCAGCAGCTGCTATCTTGTGGTTTAAAAACCTCAGCTATATAAATGTTGGTTTTCTATGTTAGGGAATTTGAAGAGTAAAGAAAGTTTCGTCACTATACTAAGACCTAACCCTCCAGGTCCCAAGAACCTATGCTATAGGTACGTACTCTGAGCTTTCAGCAAAGTTGGTTGTGAGGTATAAGAAATCCATAAGGTCACCCACACAATAGGCTATCTTGTTCCAAGGAACCTTGATCAACTTCAGACATCTCTCTATGAGCTGGGGCAAAATTCTTACATAGGAAGAACTTAGCCATCACTGCCACTCCCACAGAGCCTTTGGTATAGAATTCTACCATCACCATTAAGTCACTTGCTTGCTTTCTTGTCACCAACATGAACCGGCTGCCCAAAGAGAAAGTCAGTCTACTATGTTGTCTGTTGGAAGGGGGAGCATGATCCAGTGTTAAAGAACCAGGTTGAGATATGAGCCAGACACATAGCAAAACGCCTGAGATGTCCTGGAGCCTGCTAGAGTCCATTTAATGCACAAGTGTATGTTTGTGTTCTGATTAAAATTACAGTGGACCCTTGACTTACAAACGGCCCAGGTCGAGAAATGAGCCAGACACATAACAAAACGTCTGAGATGTCCTGGAGCCCGCTAGAGTCCATTTAATGCATGAGTGAATGTTTGTGTTCTGATTAAAATTTTAAAAATTGACGTGTTGAGACCTTAGAAGTTCTAAAAATAAGAATTAGAAAAATTAAATAAAAGTAATTAAAATTATTTATCTTAAACAAAAGCAAAAAAACTAAAGAGTTAACAGGATTTGCCCTGTAAAACCAAAATGGAACAAAAACGGCCTGTTACGGAATTAATCGGTTTTCAATGCACTGTAGGTCAATGGAGACTTGACTTACAGACTTTTTGACTTGAGAACCGCCTTCCAATACGGATTAAGTTCTCAAGTCAAGACCCCACTGTAAAAAAAAATTGACATGTTGAGACTTTAGAACTTCTAAAACTAAAAATTTCAAAAATTAAATAAAATGTAATTACAAATTATTTATCTTAACAAAAGCAAAAGACTAAAGAGTTAACAGGATTTGCCCTGTAAAACAGAGATGGACAAAGTGCAAGCCGCAAGCCACAATGTGTATTTTCCCATGCTCCCCGGTGTGATCTCCAGCACCCCTGGCACGCCTTACCCTTGGCTTTCTCTGTTTTACCAAACAGTGTGAGGGATAATGCCCTCTCACACCTTATAGGGCAACACAGAGATGGCACAGTTTTGCCATGTTTCTCTATTTCTCATCAGTTTTAGGTTCAGGCAGAATGGATGCCAATTGGGAGTATCAGGGAAAGCTTGAGGGGTCTTTTAAGGGGGGGAAAGGGGGACTATCTGGGGTATAAATGCTGGATCACTTGTCTTTGAGGATAACTAAATAGGCTATGCTATTTAGACTAACTCTAAATGCCCACTTTGCTCTGAGCAATTAGAGAGGAAGAGTTTTCTTTCAGACAACAATGACAATGTTGGAAAAACATGGAATCACTATGTAGCCTGGTTACCATTCTCATCTTCCTGGAAGACTGTCTTTCCTGTAAAGATCTTGTCTCCAATTTGTATCTTTCCAGGTTGCATGTAAGGTCCGCTCAGCCTGTTATCTCTGCAAAGCTTAGTAAGGATCTCAGTTGGCTTGGTGGCATCTCTCCAGGCATTATATCCTTCACTGCAAATTAGAGGAGATGGTTTGGAATGGATGAATGTTTCTGGTGGAGATGGCTCAGGTTATAATTTGCTCAGAATATCAAATACAGTGTGAAACTTCAGTTCTCATGAAACCTACAGACATATTAGGATCAAGCTTTTGCAAGATGCTTGTGAATTGTAATTGCTCAGAAGATCAAACAGACATAGTAGGATCAAGCTTTTGCAAGATGCTTGTGAATCAACACATACTGTCTCATTAAGTGCTAGTTGATGAAATATATGTCCAGAGAGAACCTTACATTTCATACTGACTCTGCAGTCCGCAGGTAGCTCGATGCCTGCTGTAGAAACGGTTTTCCAAATCAATTTTTGTTTCCCCAATGAGGTCATCTGAACCGATCAAATCATGGTCATAGATCAGGACTGAAAGCAGGGATTCCTTCGGGAAAGTGGCCTGAATTTCAAATGACCTACAATTGATCAAATCATGTCAATAGAATCATCGTTAGGCTGCAATCTTAACCATCCTTGCATATAAAGAAAGTCTGCACTGAAGCTTAGTTTTCAATAAAGATTGATTGGACTGTTAGTTAGTATCATGTGCTAGTTCAGATATCAATGTTTGAACAAAGAAATCATCACAAAATACTGACAGACAAATTCTCAAAAGCTTTCTTTGAAGTTGCCGGATAAACAAAAGAAAACGGGGAATCAATTGAGCTCATCCATTGGAATGCTTCCACTCGCCCCCAGCATCCCTCAGGCATATTCTGGTACCCACTTAATGATTTGTGAAGGGGAGAGCAAGGGATTTTTCTCTCTATTTGTGCTAGCTAACAGTGTAATTGTGGTAGATACAGTTAACTGAACGGAATCTGAAAATCCAGGGATGCCATAACAGAAAAAGTGTGTTTGTAGGTGGGAACAGTATTCCTGCTTGGGGTGGAGATAGATTTGATGTAGACCACAGAAGACTTTGTGTCAAAACTTGCTTCTCATTTGTGGTAGTTTTTTTTAAGATCCTAGAACAATAGTAACTGAAAGTTATTTGGTGCCTGTGTGTCCACCAAGATGACTTATGTGTCTCAACAGAGATACGTGTCCTACTGGTTAAGAGGCAGAGCTGCTTTTATGGAAGACGGAAGGAAAAAGTAAGATGTTCAGCTGGTGTGGATATCTCTACAGCTAGCCAAATTTGTTTCAACACACATTCTTCTTCAGTTCTGCAGCATCTCACTAAATATAGCGATGCGGCTTAAAGCAACCATTTCTTGATTAGACAAGGTAATAATAATCTTGGGAAAACCTGTCAGGCAGTCAAAAGAAGAAGGAGAAATGCATAAACAACTAGTTCTATGTCACTCCTCACGTCTATGGTACTATTCAAAGTGACACCTAGGATCTCTGTTGTGGCAAGATCTGTGAGCTCCAGAGCATTCATCTGGGGCTGCCCAATTTCACTATGGTTAAGATCTGCAAATATATTAATAATCTTAGAGCGGCAGTGCTGGATGGGACCCTATGGATCAGGGAGTCCAGCCCCTGTCAAGGAGGCACAGTGGGGAATCGAACTCCCAAATTCTGGCTTTGCAGCCAGATGCTTAAGCCACTGAGCTAGCCTGTGCTAAACATTAGAAGAGATAAAGACAGTGGAAGTTTAGGTTCTTTTTTCACTTGCAATTTTTAATCTTTTAAATATTGTATTTTAATTATGTAAGCCGTCTTGGGTTCTTTTAAGGAGAAAGGCAGGGTAAAAATACTTTAAATAAATAAATAAGATTTTAATGCCTGTCATAACTGGCTGGTGAAAATTTGGACCAGTTTCCCTGTTTCTCCTAAATATCAGTCACACAGTCGTGATTTGCCATGCTTTAGGGATCTGCGTACTTATGAGAACAGTTTCTGAAAAAGATTGGCACCTGCCAGTTATGACAGTGGAGGACAAATTCTGCATGACGGATGCCCTCGTTTGGGCTTTATTCTGCTGGAGTCTCTGAATTAAGATTTTCACCTTTAAAGGTGATTGCAAAGGTAGGCATGCATTAATCTTCTCCAGTTTGAGCATATTAATTTAAAAACATGGGACATTATCCGCCTTTAGAGCTGAAAATACCACAGAGATATATTTCCTGTCTACTTCATCCAGATAACAATTCTCTATTTCATCCGTTGTTGTTGTTTTAAATAAATCTGATTTTAAATACCAATATTTTGAGGCATCTTTGTTTAGAAAGTTCAATCTATATTTATTTGTTGAGAAAAATTATGCACCAAATGCCACAAGAACATGTTAATCTGTAGACTGACAATTTCCAGTCTCAGCCATAAGCATTTGGACTGAATTCATTAATATAAAGGGGGGAGGAGGAATCCTGTTACTCTCCAAATATCAGCTATTCCCATATAATATTAAATGGCCAAAGTAATCTCTAGACTAAGTTAAGAATTCTGCCTTAGTAGTGATGAAATGTCAGGCAATTATAACATCTATAATTAACTGCTGTGTAGCTAGCTCAGTGGTTTAGGTATCTAGCTACAGACCTAGAGGTTGTGAGTTCAATTCCTGACTGTACCTCCTTGATCAGAGCTTGATTTGAGGATTCATAGTCCTTTCCAGCTCTCTATTATTATTTTAAGACTATTAAACCTCATTTACATCTGACGTAAGCTTGTTACATGAATACAACACTGTAGCAAATATTTTTGTTCCAAAATAGTTGTGGTGGGTTTGATTTATGTCCTTGTTAAAGTAGACAGACAAGGTTATCTGTATTATTACATAAGAAGAGATGAAGCAACAGAGGCTAATTTGGAGAGATGCTGGTTGAGCATGAAAATTGAATAAACTGGAGTGAAGCAGTATGACACATTGTCAAGAACTGATGCAGTAAATTTTATAGCATCTACAGAGACATGCACCAATGTTTTAGCAAATGTAATTTATCCCAAACAATGGAGAGGAAAGAAGTGTCTGTAGCAAATTGATTAAGTTCATAACATCACACATATCTAAATGAACTGACCTTCCAAAAATTGGGTTTAGCTGCTTGGGAATGTAATTGTCTCGGTCTTTAATTTCTGT